GTATAGATAATGACATAGAAATCCTGATAGTCTTTATGTTATACCGATGTTAAATTTTTTAGAGTTAGTAGCTATACGCCAATAGAAAGTGGCAGAAGAAAATAGGAACTCTCCCCTGTCACCTTTACAACTTTTCTGTCAATCTAAAGTCATTCCAAATTAAATGTTAAGAAAGTAGAAACTCCTGATGGCCTTCTTGGTATATGGGTAATTTTGTTTTGTTTTTAATGGCTTCAGAGCAAACAGAAGCCACTCTCTAAGATGCTCACTTGATACAACCACCCAGCAGGGCAGCTATCTGCAAGCTCCTGTCCTACCACCAGAAATAGAGCTATTTTCACACACTTTGTGCAAATTGCCAACATTTAGCATGGCTTTTGTCATTTGTTCGTGTATTCCCATTCAGATTATTAAATCATTTTCTTTATTTTTTTTTTTTTCTTTTTCGAGACAGGGTTTCTCTGTGTAGTTTTGGAGCCTGTCCTGGATCCCGCTCTGTAGACCAGGCTGGCCTTGAACTCACAGAAATCCGCCTGGCTCTGCCTCCCGAGTGCTGGGTTTAAAGGTGTGTGCCACCACTGCCTGGCCAGATTATTAAATCAATTTAATATAATAATGGATATAGTGTGAAATTCCAATTTATAAATATTTTGTTCTTTTTACTATTAAGCTTCATTAACTCAAGCTAATATAGCAGAGTTGATACAGAAAACTGACAGGAATCCTCTTTTAGTCAGTAATGATATATGTAATTGACTGAAGATGAATAGGGAAACTAAAATTAAGTCACTCCTCTGTACCTCATTCATTTTTTTATGAGACTATTAGTGAAAACTTTAGTTTGTATACCTGTGAAAGATATTGTTTTTACCAGTTAAGTGTATGTATCATCCAATCAAATGTATACCTTAACAGCCTGTTTGTAGCGGGAATATAATGTATAATGAATGAATAGCACCATTTCTTGTTGAATATGGACATGAATTTAAGTTATTAGTGACAAGTACATGCATTTTTTTGGAAAGATTTTGCCGGATTGCTAATACTTGGCCAAGCAGCTGCTACAGTAGATAATTAATAATGCTGCTTAAATTGATATAGTCAGATCAATTTAAAACAAGTCTGAAACTTAGAACACAAGAGTGATAAGCTATATGATACTTAACTCCCAATTGCTAGCCAGTAAAAGAACAAGTTGCACTTGTTGACTAGCAAGCTAGATAACATTCTTCTAAAATGCCAAAGATATAATTTTGTTGACAGCTGCTTTCAGAGTCTACCTTTTCATTTCAGCGTGATTCCATTAGTGAGTTTACTTGTAAAGTTGCTTAAAGAAAATAAGCAATGTTTCTCGTTAAAAGAAATAAAAGATGATACAACTAAGGGGAAACTATTGAGTAATCATGGATCAGAAGATAATGTTCTAAGGATATCCATAGAACTTATAGCAACCTTCAGATGTCATGCAACCTTGTCAAAACCCTAACTATCTTATGCAGAAGGGGAAAAGCTATGCTAGAATTCATGTGAACCCTCAAGGGATTCTACATAGTTGATACATAGCAAAGTTGGAGGCTTCACACTCATGGCTTGCACCTACTGCAAAGCTGCAGTGGTTTAAATAGCATGCTTCATCATTGACACAGACAGGTAGATCACAGGATCTAGCAAAAAAGCCCCAGCCTCCTCACCCCTCCCCCCAAAAAAGACAGATGTGCTAGCACACACCTGTGATCTCATAGTACCTGGGAGATTATGACAGGAAAATCATGAATTTGAGGACAGGCTGAACTATATAGGAAGCCTGTAGCTCAAATAATAGCAAAGCAGCTAGAGCAGTCAGTGGAATAGAGAGTCCAGAAATAGGTCCTCAACCTATAGACAAATGATACTCCACAAGGTCACGATTGCACAGCAGGGAAAGCTGAGGAAACTGGATATCTGCCTGCAAAAGAAAGATGATGGACCTTGCCCTATACCATTTAAGAAAATTAACTCCAAAATAGATTAAAAACTGAAGCATAAGACCTTAAACTATTGAGCCTCCAAGGATTAAAAACAAGCAAAACTGGGGACACTTTAGGAAAAGATCTGGCAGTAACTTGTTGGATGACACCAGAATCACAGTCAACAAAATGGAAAGTAAACAGGGACATCGAACTTTAAAATGCCTGCTTATCACCATCAGAGCAGAAAGGTAACCTATAGAATGGAAGAAAAGAATTGCAAACATTGTCTGATGAGCTTTAATGCCCAGACATAAAATTTAGCAATATCAAATCCTTGGTTAAAAATATAGGCACCAATATGAATGAAAGAGTACAAAATAACTAAAATATTTTGTCATTCAAATATTAGTATCTATTAAATTTGTGTTCTTTTAATTGTGCTATATTATATATACCATGTTAAAATAATAAATGGCTCAAACTAAATATGTATGTATTCATATATTCATATATATATGAATATATATTCAGGTAAATAGAAAAAAAGCATGACAAGTTTTTTCTTATGTAGAATCCAGGGGGGGAGGACATCAAAGTAAAAGGAAATCTCTTAAGATCTCTTGCCCTGTAGTCCACTGAGGGGACAAGAGAAGAAAATGGGAGAAGAAATTATGGTCAATTATGTCATATGCACAAATGAAAACCTCTGACTGAATTACATTAATTTTTATAGTTAAGCAAATGCTAGTGAAAGTATTTCTTAAAATAGGCAAAAGTAGATAGACATGCTGATAACGGCTTCTGATCCCTGCACTTGGCTAAGTCAGATCACAAATTTGAGGCCAGGATGGACATCAGAAGTTCAAGGGCAGCCTGGGCTACAAAGTAGGACCCTCTTTCACACACTTACCTTGCAAATGGCAAAGGGATTAGATAGATATTTTTCCAGAAAAGGTATACAGACACTAAGCATATGCAGCCAAGAACCATAGTGTCATAACATCTGGCACCTGTCAGGATGGCTTAGCATCAAAGGATGCACTATTAGTGATATGATATGGTTTAACTGTTTTGGATAGTAGTATGGAAGTTGCTTGGAAAATTAAAAACTTGAATTACTATATGATCCAGTAATCTCACTCCTGGGTATATGCCCAAAATAATTTAAAGCAGGATCTCCTAGTGATACTTGTATCGCTATTTTCTCACAGCATTAGTCACAGTAGCAAAGTGGTAGAAAAAAAAATATCAATTAACAGATGAATGACTGAAGAAAGTGTAATGCATGTCTATAATGATATGTTATATAATCTGAAGGGAACTCTGTCACATACTGTAATATGAATGAACCCCGAGAATATTATGCTAAAGCAAAATAAACTGCTTTAGAAACATAAATACTATGTAGTCCTCCTTATTTGAAATGTATAAAGTAGAAAAAGTATAACTTCACAAGCAGAAAACAGGAATATCTAGGTATATAGGAGGTGCAAATTTGTAGGGTTGGAAGGTACACAAGCTGGAGCAGTTCACTATACAGCAGTGAATGTGCCTAATACTACTAAACTATGCCCTTAAAATGGTTAAGACGGGATGTTGGCTTTCTTAAAATTATCTATTTAGTTACACTTTTACTGATTTCCTACTCTGTATCAGGCACTTTCAATGACCTAGTATATTGGAAAGTCCTTTGCTTTTAAAGATTAGAGAAATGTAGACTTTGAGAGATTTAGAGATTTAACTTCTGTTCAGTCTTCCACATGGCATACCCAGAAGTAGTTGCCTAGACTGAATGAGTTGCCCAGTGCCTGCATATGAGTGCTGAGTCAAAAGTAAAAGGAGATGAACTCCTGCTAAGTCAGGAGGTGGAGACTAGAGTATGGATCATCTGAGGACACACTGACTAGCTTGCTAAACAGCATTATTTTTATCAGGAGGTCAAGTGACAGAGCCAGATTGCTAAACATTCTGGCCCTGTTCGACCTGTTGTTAGGCCTGTTGAAAATGCAAATGATCGATCAACACTTACCTAGAGGGAAGGGAGACAGTTTGAAAGTTTTTATGAAGACACGCCCTCCCTAATCTGTGAATTGAAAGCAGCTTTTAAAAATTCGCATCCTTTCATCTTCCTAGGTGGTAGTGAATATGTGGGCAGAAAATGAAGCATTTCAAATAATGCTAATGAAGTTTAGTGATTACAATCTACCATATTGTGAGAGAGAGTTGTTAGTTCTGAAGGATGAAGACAGAATTCAAATATTACCATGACTGGCATTTGATTGGAAAAGTGCAAAGATAAGCTTAGGTTCCTTTTATGAAAACCATCTTCTCAGCCTGATGGAATATCTTTTAAAAGTTACCGTAGTTACCATGGAGACTTGGTGGCTTTGATAGAGTATGTTGTAATCCATATTCAATCATCTAAGGTAAAGAAGCCAAGAAACACACCAGCTAAAGTCAAAGTAGTTTCCTCTTTAAATCCATACTCTCTGAAAAGATGAAAAGGGGAAAATACCCTAAGGAGTAGGTTTAGGTTAATTATCACTGCTTGAAAATTAAAGTTTAGGAAGCACATTGCCTGAAGTTGATGCTAGTGTTTATTTTCTGTGTGTAGCCCTTTTACCTATAATAAAGACAATTTCTTGAGTTTTGGCATAGGAATTTAAATGGTATGATCTTTCTGAAAGTTGATGAACCCTAAGCAGTGTACTCAATTTCTAAAAGCCAGAGAAACACAGACAGGATTGCAGACATTGTCCCCATGGTAACATATTTGCATTTGGCCCAGAAGTGGCAGCTTTCTGCTTAGCTTCTTTTAATTGCTATATATTGACAGCCATTTTCACAACTCTGAAGTGTCAGATACATGAGCATGTGTACTGGGAGTGTGCACCATATCTTCAGGCTTGATTAGACACTTCAGATGACAAAGAGCTCTGCTTGAAGAGTTACTGAGGTGTTTTTGGCATTTCCTAATGTGTCTGTCACATAGTGGAAGCAAAAAGCCTTTCAAATGATTTAAATATTTTCATCAATTCTCTTTTAAAACAGGTGACAAAAGAACTAAAACAGTACGACAACAAAATTATAGAATGCAAATTTGAGAACAACAGCTGGGTCTTTATGAGACAGAGAATAGACAAAAGTTTCCCAAATGCCTACAACACAGCCATGGGTGAGTATGAACAGAGGCTATCACCTTCAGCTACAGAATGTTATGGTGTCAGAACCCACTTGGACTGTTGGTGCTGTCCTGCTTGCTGAGGGAGACAGTCAAGCCAGCACCTTGCTAATCTCTAGTAATTGCAAGTTGTCCTCCCTGTGTGCCTGAGAGGGCAAAAGAAGGTAGGGTGGTGGTGGCTGCACACCAGTTGAATTTAATGAATGACAGCAACAGTGAAAACCATGACAATTTCTGATCTATTCAAAACTATTGAAGCCATTGTTTGCCAGATGGTAAGAAACAAAATTAGCAAGGGAAAATGTAATTTCCAGTTCCTAAAATAACTTTACAAACAATGAAGAGAAAGTAAATGAAAACCACTTTAAAACAAAAACTACCCTGCTGTCCTTCAGAATGTTCTTTGGGTATAATCTGAATGCTTGGAGATTTAGAAGAGTTTGTTGTTTTCATGAGGAACACCACAAGTTCATTTGAGTTTATAAGATATTCTAATAGTAGGGGTAGTAAAAAAAAAAAAAAGGTAGATAAAAGGTACAACAGAAGAGTAAAGGTTAATAGAGTGTGTACTTGTCTAGTGTTCAGTTGCTGATGGTGTTGATGAGCATAAGAAGCAGAAGAGATAGAGATGGCCAGTTCAGGCTTTTCACTTTACATGATGCTGTTTCATATTCAGGGACTCTGTGTTCAGACAAGATAAGTTCATTTCATTGCCGTCCCCCATTCCCAAAAAACCAAATAGATAAATAAAATGAAAAGCATTGGTTCTAAATTTTAATTATTCAAGAGAAGATGTTTTGTTTACTAGGCTATTTTATTTTGTGTCCTTCTTCAATTAAATGATTAAAATAACAATATGGATGGCAGTTGTCATTAAACTTCCCTGTTCCTAGTAGCAGTGGCTAGTGCTGTTGTGTTTCACAGGATGAACATCCTTCTGAGAGAAGGACTTAAAAACTGTAGTGTACTTTCTTGTGTTGAGGTTTTAAATGAATGTGGACTTTGATGAGGTATGCTGTACTAGATTAAAATCCCTTAGCATTTTTGCTTAAAATTAATACTCTAGCAAAGAGTAACCACAGAAAAGAATCTGACCTGGAGCCCACTGGTGAAATGCCAGGGTTTCATGGAGCTGCATGGAGACTACCTACCCTCAGCCTGTGGTGAGTCAGCTGCCTTAGTTAATCACTTGAGATGCTGTCTCCTTTGTCCACAGCTGTGTGCAATAGCATCTCGAACCCTGTCACCAAGGAGATGCTGTTTGAGTTCATTGACAGATGTGCAGCAGCTGCCCAAGGACAGAAGCGAAAGTATCCCCTGGACCCTGACACAGAGCTCATGCCACCCCCACCTCCCAAGAGACTGCACCGGCCAACCTAGTCCCTGCCTCTGACCTCATGCTCAAGAGGAAAGAAGAGTGAGAAGAATGCTGTTGCCTCATTTACACAGCCAGAGAAATTAAAGAGACAATTGTGGCTTGGTACTGACACATGTGTTTTAAGGGAAGACATGTAGCCAACCTGTATATATTTGGTACATTTGGTTTCTCAGAAATACAGTACATCATGGACCTAAATATTTTATTTATACCTGATAAATTCAGCCTTACCTTTTAGAGTCTGAAGATTGAAATATCCAAAGGTTTAAATCAAATTGAAGTCAATGAGATAGAGGCCTTGTTTGTATGTGAATAGATACCTTTACATTTGATTCGTAACTAGCAATCTGAAATTGTGAGCTCATTGAGTTTTTTAGTAGTTGGATTTTAAGTTTTTCTCCTAAAAATGTAGGCAGTGGCATCAGAAATTCTTGCTGTCACTTATCATGGATTTCCTATATTTCTGAATTTTCTATATTCTGAACAATGACAAGGTCAAACATTATGTACATTAAACATTTTGGTCTGGCTATACCTTTGTGTGTGTGTGTGTGTGTGTGTGTGTGTGTGTGTGTCTGTCTGTCTGTCTGTCTGTCTGTCTCTGTGTATGGGATGTAAAACAGTAACACCCCCCCCCCCTTTTTTTTTTGTAAATTGTATCCTTTCTTTAGAAACAACTTTGAGTGTTTTACCATTTTTCTTGTTTGAATCACAGTGTCAGATGTCTGGTGTTCCCATCCTGGCAGTGGTTTTGAGTTACTTTGTGGCACTTAAATATAGAGCCCCAGGGCCTTTATGTGCTGCTGTCCTGGGAACATTGTTTCTTTTAGACACCAGGGCTCCTTCCCCTCCCTGTACCTCAGTGGGATCATCACACACCACTCACTGTGATCTCTGGGAGCGATATCAAACACAAAGGTGTTGTGTTAGTTCCCTCAAACAAAGCGTCAGAAGCAATAGCATTATTCCTTTGTTAGAAGGTAATGTCAACTGAACAAGGTGTTGTCTCTAGGAGATACTGTCCTCCCACTGGACAGGATGGATCATGGAGGAAGTGAAGATGTTGCTTCCACTATTACAGTTGCACCTGTGCTTGGGGGATGATATTTCAGTGATGCGGCTGCATTTCAGTGTTTACTATAGACAGTAGGTTTAAAAGGCAGCTAATGGTCCCTGATATTGTAAAAAACTGTTTTGATTGGCTTGTGAAGGGAATTCAGAATTAGCTACTAGCAAACAGCTTAATGTATTTATTTTTAGAGACACAGGTTTTAAGTGTATGTATTTAAGCAAATTTTCATGATCTGAATTTTTATATATGTATAAGCATATATGTGAAAGTATATGCAACAGTGTATATTCTTGTACTGATTCAGCCAGAAGTGAAAACCCAGATGCGTTACCTGGCAGACTGAGTATCTGATGGAATTTTTATTTGACATAGCACAGATGAACCAAAACTGTATTTATATGAACCTGAGTTTTAATGTTTTTAAACAAACTTTTCTTCTGTACTGCTTTTCTATATGGAGTACTAGGGCTGTACTTGGGCTTCTGCCTCTGTTGTTCCCAACTTATGTAATGTATAGCAGATTTATTCAAAACACTGTTTTTTGTTTTTTTTTTGTTTGTTTGTTTGTTTTGCTTAGATTGCTTTTGTCTGTTTGGGCACTGAAGGGATTTAAACACCTGACTGCTACAGTGATTACTGAAGGGAAGTTGTCAAGGTTCCTTCTGTCTTTTACATGGTGGATCTAAAACTGCCTGTGAACTCCAGACAGTCTAGTGCCTGCTTCCCCAGGGTCAGTGACTCTTTACACCACAGATGTTCTGCTCCCAAGCTGGTGCAAAAACAGAGCTCCTTTTCATATATAATAACAAGCGTTTGCCAATGATCTTTAATAGAATTAAAATGTTTGTGGTAGCTCTAACATTTTAAATTAATTTTGTGAAAAGAGCATTGTATAGGGCTTAAGTTTTTCAGTTTACCTTTTCCTTTCAATTATGGTAACATATAATCACTGGTTTTCTAAGCAGATCCCATGTAGTCCCCAGACACAGAGCCTCCTCAGGTATCATTAACAGTCACTTAGGTTGTTGGGTGAAACCTGGAGGCAGGATTTAGACATCTTGAAGGAAATGTTCCTTCTTGAAGGCAGTTCGTCCCTTCTCAGCTCATGTTACAATAGCCGTTTTCTTAAGCTGATATTTACTAGATAAGAGTAAGAAGACTTCTCCTGAGTTATCGCATGTAAAAGCTTGCTTTTTGTTTGGAAAAAAATATGGGTGGCTACTGCCTAGATGGTTACTTTGCTTTCCATGAAATGCTCAGAAATGCCAGAACATTCCTTCTCTAATTGTGTGTCAGTGTGTATTGTAATAAAACTACTGATGTAAAATAATAGTGTCTTTCCTGTCTCACTGGCAATGATTTGGTGTCCCTTCTGCTACATTGACTCTTTTTTAAAATATTTTAATTTTATAATTAATTTCATTTTACATTACATTGACTCTTGTTGCTAACTTCCATACCTAGTATGGGTCATCTGGCTAGTTACACTCTAAAGATTAGCATAGAGATTTGGAAAATCTGTTTTGCCTTCTGAGAGACTTGATTTGTTTGAACCTTTTTTACTTTTGAAGTCTAGGGTGGAGGTACTTTATATTATTTATGTACATTTACCCATCTCAGCAGTCTACCAAACGAGTATTCTCTTACATTATTTTTCATGGATTTCCTTTAGAGTATTTAGTAGTCAATGAAGTAATGAACCATCAAATGCTTGTAAAAACTGTGCATTTTTGTATATGAGATTTTGCTATTCGTAAGCATAAGCACCATTTTGAGCAATGTTTATAGTCTCTTCAGGCCAATAAAATAAAATCTTGAAGATCAGTGCCCAAGTAGTTAAATGCCTATCGTGGAGAAAAGCCCTAGGCTGGATCCAGAGAGAAGTCCAAGCTGCACCTCCTGCTAGTTCTGTGTTCTCCCTTCCTTCTCCCTCCTTTTCCCATTTGTAAAATGTTAAGGTTGGACCTGATCAAAAGGAACCTTTCTAGTCCAACTGTGATTCTATGTGAAGTCAGGACTCTGTGTGTGTTCACCCTAGCAGCCATATTTCTGTGACTGATGGTTACCATCAAGCTAAGTGTATCAGTTAAGTGCCCTTCCTAACATTCAGATACAGAATGTTAGACTGAATTTTCATCTAAGCCCCAAGCACATCTTGGCACTCCGGTAGAGTTGCCTAAATGTTTCTTCACAGTCCGGGTGGGGAATTCCACTTCCACAAGGTCTCAGCTTGCCCAATTGAATTTTTGCTGCTGGCCATGATGGGCATCATTTGCCTCTTGCCAGATGGAGATGAAATTGACAGCAGGAGAGAAAATGTGACTGAACTGCCATGAAGGGAAGTATAATATTGGAAGTGCTGGGTTCTGAAGCTGTAATTGGGAAACATGGTGATTAAAATAAGCACTGGCCCATTGTTTTCTTGATTGTGGCAGTTAGCTGTCAACTCTCACACTTTGCCTTGTTATTGTTAGCCTTGGTTTAACTTCAGTATCTCTCCCTCCCCTCTCCTGACACCAGGTAACCATTGTACATGGTAAGGGAATAAAGCTGGGGCCACTGGACTTCAAGATTCCACATTTCAAAATGTACGTGGGTAGATGGACATGCCAGCTATTTTTTCATGGAAAGGCATTTTTAAAACATTTGTGGCCATCATTCAATAACGTAAAAAGAATTTCAATACTGAAAAGTACTTACTTTACAAGAAAGTATAGGCCTTTACATAGAACAGTAAAGTACCTGCATGTCACCCTAGGCTGGCAAAGCCTTTGTGTTGGCCCATTGTGCTGACTAGTTTTAAGTCAAGTTGATACAGACTAGAGTCAGTAGAGAAGATAGAACCTCAACATCACTGAGGATGAATTAAAAGAAGTGTTTGAAGATGCCCTGGAGATCAGATTGGTTAGCCAGGATGGGAAGAGTAAAGGGATTACTTATATTGAATTTAAATCTGAAGCTGATGCAGAGAAAAACTTTGAAGAAAGCAGGGGGCAGAAATTGATTGGCGATCTGTTTCACTCTACTACACTGGGGAGAAGGGACAGAGGCAAGAAAGAGCTGGAAAGAATAGCACTAGGAGTGGTGAATCAAAAACTTAGGTTTTAAGTAACCTTTCCTACAGTACAACAGAAGAAACTCTTCAGGAAGTATTTGAGAAAGCAACCAGATTGACTTTGGACAAGCCTGTGGGACATTTTCTTGATTGATGATTGATGTGAGAGGGCCCAGTGTGCCTTGGGTGGTGCCACCTCTGGGCAGATGGTCCTGGATGATACAAGAAAGCAGTCTGAGCAAGCCATGGGGAGCAAGTCAGTAAGCATCACTTTTCCAAGGTTTCTGCTTCAGTTCCTGCTTCCAGGTTACTGCCTTGAGTTCCTGTCCTGACTTCTTGGATGATGGGCTTATAAGCTGTGAAATAAAGTAAGTTCTTTGTTCCCCAAGTTGTTTTTGGTCATTGTTCCTTATTATAACAATAGAAAACCCTAAGTAAAACACTCATATTAGTAATCTACCAACAGCTTGTAGCTGGGGAGTAGGGCATGGAGACCCTTGGAGGAATAACAGTCATTGATTATACAACTGAAGGTCACCTTTGGACTTGGCAGTGGTTGATTATATAGGTGATTTTGTTGTGCAAAATGTACATAGGTAGAAACTGTAATTACCTGTATGTTAAAAAATGCCCAAGTAGAATGAAACTTGAATATATTTTCCCAAATTTTATTTTATATTGTGTGCATGTTGGGGGGGGTAGGTATGCATGTGGTGAGTTTAGATGCCTGAGGAGGCCAGGGGTGTAAGGTCCCCCTGGAGTTAGAGTTACAGGCAGTTGTGAACTGCCTTACATGGGCACTCTTAACCTCTGAGCTATTTTTCTAGTCCTGAAACCCAGCTAATTAAGGGACAGAAATTAATTTGACCAAATACAACACAGAAAAATAGAATTTAGTTTTGACTAGACTAACAGGAAGTAATGTGTTTTCCAACTTTGACTTTAGTACATAGTCTATTTTTCTTGAGATCACAAGTTCAAAATGATCTTTCAGAACCTCAAACTGCTCCTCTTAGTAACTCCACTAAGAGCACCCCAGCACCAGCACCATGGGAAAGCCCTCTGTGATGTGGCTCCAGCCTGTGCCATCTAGGTTCGTAACCTAGTGAAGGTGCACCTCCTGCATTCAGTGTTCCATTGTTCTGAGCCCAGGAGCTTCAGCTTCCCCTCATCTCAGGATCAAGGATGTCACCACAATGCAGATGTCTGCAAGGAGGCATACAAGCAATACTTTCCTTGGTTTTTCTCTTCCAGACATGGGGCTGTAAACATAATGGTGATACTGGGTCACAGAGTTTGGCAATAGTGGAATTCAAATGTCCCATTGTGCTGTGTGTTCCCCTTGGGTTAGCCATGTGGAACATTTTCTGTATGTGTCATTCTAGTCCTCTCACTGTAACTGAAACACTGAAGCATATCTTTAGAAGACTGTATTCAGGGCTGTATCTAGTGTGGCTCCCATTTAATCCCATCAGCAGCATCTTATTTGTTCTTGTCTTTTGCACTGAAAGCAGGAACTTCTCTGGGAGACTACTGAGCAGGTAATTCCCTGTTCTCCCTTTTTGTGATATGCTTGTAGGGAGATGAAAAGGAGTTTTTTGTTTGTTTGTTTGTTTTAAATTTTTTAGTGCAGTTTCATTGAACTTACTGTATCAGAAGCTCGGAAGTTCAGCCTACACATCCCACCCATTTTCTCATGTTTTCACGGAGCAATCCTTTGGTGACTATTGCGACTTTTCAGTTTTTAAAAGAAATTCAGGTTCCCTTTGACTAAGTCTGTGCCTGCAGCCTTGTCTTCAAACAGGAGAGCAAGTGAAAGAGGCTGTTCTTGCTGCTACTATTGACTGTCTTTCAGCATCTAAAGGAATAAGAAACTGCAGTTTCCATGGAAGTTCTGCTCTCTTCAATGTGGGTATCCTTGTGTGGCTTTGATGTCTAGTATAAATACAGCATGCTCTGATAAACATGAAGGTAAGGCCTGCAGAAATCCTATTTGAACATATCACCACCAAGGTCCTGTAAAGTTTCTGGACAGTGTCATTTTTAGGTAGAGCTAGAAGGCCTGCTAGTTGTGGAATGAGAGGAGAGGTAACCTAGGCCTTCCTGAGTGGGCAGCAGAGCTATATATAGTGAAGGTAAAAAAGCATACATTGAGGGTTGCTCACAGCCTTGCAAAGGAGATTGGCTAGAAAATGAACTGTAACCTCTGTCCTTGCCTCTAGCCAACAGGCTCTTATCCTCATAAAGCCTGTCCACCACTGCTACCACAGCTCTGCACAGGGTCAAATGCACTTACATAAACAGCCTACTGGCAATATGTTACACAGGTGCTCATTGTTCATTGAGGAATTTCAGATATTTAAAGTGCAGAGTAAAGTGAAATCCCATTTCCACAGAATTGGTGGTGCTCACAATGTCGGGGCCATTCATTTCACTGGCCAGTCCATAACCATGAACACAATTGCTTTGAGATTCACCTCTCTTTCCTCCTCCTGCCCTTGTTGCATTTGGCTCCTAAGCCATTGGCTTCTTGATTTTCTTCCCTCCCCCACACAGCTACCCTTCCCCCCCATTCTTGCCCTTTCCACCTATACTAATGACCCAGGTGCAGTCTGCTGGCCTCTGTCCACACTCTATCAAAGTTTCCAAGTTCATTTAGAGTGCTCATTCAACACTAATTCTTGAGTGCTGAACTCAGATACCCCACTGACAGTTTAACATCTTTGCTGGGGTGTCTAATGTCACCTCAACCTGAATACGCCAAAACTGAGCTCTTCCCCTCCTGTGTGCTTCCTTTTCTGCCCACAGCCATCTTCCAGGCGTAGTTAATAGCAATGTATTCTGTATTGTCTTTGACTCTCTTCTTTCTCTTACACTTCCACCCAGTCCATCAGCACATGTTGACAGCACTACCTTCAAAATATGACAACTCCTCCATCTCCCAGCTCAGTTCCTGTATTATCCCAGGTCCTCTGTTCCCACAGCTTCTCTAACCTCTGCTCAGACACTTAGGATAGCCGCTCAATTACACTCAGCCTCTATCTGTCTCCCTATCATCTCCTCTCCATACTGCTCATGCAGTGCTTTCAAAAACAGGTCACTTTCTAATTCATGGCATTCTGAAGTTCCTGCCTTATTCAGCATGTCCCACGATCCCCTCGGTTTAGTAGCAACATGACTTGCTCCTGTTCATCCTACTTGTTACTACAGTTTCTGTGCTGTCTAAGCAAGCTCTCATTTTAGGGCTTTGAACTTTGTGCATCTGCAGTGGTCTTCACACAAACATTAGAGGTCCCTGCACCTGCTCCTGCAGCAGCCATGCTACCTGGAGTGCCACACCCTCCTCCTTACAGTTCCTTCTTTTCTAGCATGCATGTTAGCTTTTCTACCTGTCATTTGTGTCTCCTCTCTAGAATGCAACTTCTGTGTGAGGTAATAATTTATTGCATCAGTGGCTATATTTCCAGCACCGAGGCTATTTAGGCATAGAGTATGGGAGTAAATATTGTTAGAATCCCTAAGTAAAATCTGGCTATGCAGACTATGCAGGGCTTTGAATGTCTGACCAAGAAGTTAGACTAAAAACCAAACTTAGCAAGTTGGGAGTCCATTGTATTAAGCAGATGGAGGTCAGAGTTTAGGGAACTAAATAGTGGATGGATGTGATGGGCATTCAGAAGGTTAAACCTCCAGACTCCACCATCAGAGGGTTCAAGTCTGGGTGGGGAAGCAGTGACATCCTTAGCAGAAATGGGACAAGAGGAGAAGCCATATGGGGCTGGGTGAGAAGGGGCTTTCTGAGTCCAGTGAGTTGGCTGGACATGCTTGGGAGAGCCCTGGGGGTTATGCTAAGGATGATAGCAAGGAGAACAGGGCTCAGATACAGTCAGTAGCAGGTGTGAAGTAAAAAGAGGGCTGATTGGAAAGAAAAATAACCAGCAGAGTAAGGTAGCAAGAAACTAAAGTAAAAAAAAAAAAAAAAAAAGCTTGAGAAGGTGTATGGAAGGGATAGAAAGGCCTGAGGCAAGGACAGGGGACATGGCTTGGAGACTGGCTCCTGGGGGACCTGCACAAGTGTCTTCAGAGTGGGTGAGACCAAGAAAAACAAACCAGGAAGAAAGGTATGTGATGGGCCTTGAGCTACTGTAGATAGCCCAGATAACCCTGCAGTGGTGGGGCTACTTGGGCATGCTGACTGCAAACATAAACTTCCCAACCATTCCTTCAGGACATTAGCAGTGTGCCACCAGGGATGACAAAGTGTTAACTGTGGGAGACTGTGGCAGTCCAATTCCTACCTTTCCCACCTTTTCTAAGATTCTTAGGAGGAGGAGAGAAGGATAAATATTAGGTAGAGAGACCTAGGTGATGAGAAGAAACAGGATAGCTTCAGGAGGGCCTGAATCAATACCCAATGGCCTCAAAGGTTTATTCAAAAGGCTTTTTATAACATGCCAAGGGGAGAAGCAAGAGACCTTCTCCTTGCAAGGTCAAAGCACACCATACAGCCAAGTGTAGACCCTTCCAAACACCTGGTAAACACACCTGTGATCAAATCATCTCCAATGCAACCCTGCTTGGTAAAGTAAGCTCAGATTTTCAGACCCTGAGTAAGTTCTCACTAGGAAACCTCTGTGGGCTTCCACAGATCCCCCTTCTAAATAATTTAAAGAGCCCCTCAGACCCTCAAATTGACTGTGTCTGTCTTAGGTTGCCTTTGTCACTAAAAAGCCTTACCCATCACAGAGATACACTTTTTGCCAAGTGTACTCTGTCTTAGGTTGGCAGCTAGCAAGAAGGACTTACCTTTCTCTGACTACCAATCACTGGCAGGTGAGGGTGCAGAGCTTAAGACTCTGAAGCTGCTTTTGCACTAAGAACTTGCAAATAGCTGGAATAATCATAGCAATAATCCTGCTCCTTATGG